TCACAGATAGAACCAATAGAAGTCATATGCCTTGGGGTGGCAGTGGAAGAAACATGGAAGGAGATTCTGTTGGTCACACCGCCTACCATTAATTAAGTTATAAAACGATAAGCATATTGCAGTGTGAACATGTCACATAAGTCTAATGAACACAACTTTAATCAAATCGCCAAAAAAGTCCTCAAATTTCGTCAAATCAATAGACAATAAGAATACAGATGACCCCTCATAGCCATTTTAGAATACAAAAGTTACCCATACCCAACTTCCATCCCACAATTTAATACAAAAAGTTAAACTTTTTAAAAGATTGTTCTAATTTTTAAAACCTCTTAATCATGCAAGCTTTATTTTAACCCAAACACCGGTTTAAGTTCAATGATACATGTCCTAACCCCTTCACTTAATTTCAACACATCAATCATACATGTGGTCTGTTGGCCAAAAAAGTGAAATCATATATGTTGGCCTAACTGCATGCTTTGCTATCATATATGCCCTTAGTGGTCAGGTCGTATCAAGAGTTAATTTTTGTGTATTATAGTAAGTCCACTTCTTTAGTTCCAATAAAAGTTAATAACTTATGTTGGGTTTAACATTTATGAAAAATTACTTTTTTATTAAAATTTCAAAATAATCGAATATCAGTCGAAAGGTTGGGAGCAAACCTTGTCCTGTTTTAATTTTGTTCCTTTTTGCAGTCTGTTTTTTTATGGTTTGGGGTTCATCTATAAAGGGTCCCCAGACAACTTTAGCGATAAGTAATATCCATCATTTCCATCTAAAACATCTTCTTCATACTTAGCTTGAATTTATGGTGTCTATTTAAAGATAAAGGAAATAGGGTCCTCTTTATTCTGTTCAAGATTTTACTCCCTACCGCATTCTTTAGTGGGTGGCAAGTGTATTTCCTGATAATTCATTCAAAATATGTATAACTATAAACCCTTATAATATGTTCTAAACAGGGTCCTTTTACATCAAATTGTTTGGAACCACATGTTTTATATATTAATTTGTATGACATCCAATTACCCTTAACAACTTGTAAGTTGTAACTGTCCCATCTGTCTGCTTTCTTTTTGAACAATTTCTTTTGGGTAGGATCGATCAAGGCAAACACAACTGTTCTTACAAGCTGCCCCCTCTACTTGATTTTCATCTCTCAAATATGGGTCAGTCCTCAGTCCCACCAAAGTTGATTGGTTAGGGAAAAATATCTTTCCCTTGTGTCCTGATTATAGTTCCCTACTTTGAATACTAAATGCATATTATTTAGCTAGGTTAATTCTTTCTTACTACTACTAACAACTCGAACTAAAGTATTTAAAGGTGTGACATAAATCTAAACTTAGAATTATTAGATTAAGCCTAGGCTATGAGCTTGTGACATCTAAATATGTATATCATTTACTTTTCTATTCTATCTATATTATGGTATCATAATGATTTACATCATGCATCAGAGTTATTTATATTTGAAACCAAGTGGCAGTCCTCATTCTATTGAGGTCTCACCTTTTGGATACTTCTCAGCTTCCTGTTAGATGGCTTCCATCTCCAACCCAACCCCTTCTGAGGCACATCTAGAGTCAATGGATTTTCTTTCGCGTGCTTGGTGCAACTTCGCTGTGCAAACTCTCCAACCTGATCGTCTCCATGATCAATCTATCATTGTCCGAGATCATCCACTGCAGAAATTTGAGCATCAAGCCACACCGCCTTTTTCTGTAAGTTAGAGTCCTAAGGATTTACTTTATCATACACATATTTTACACCAAAAGATTGCAGTCAATGACATTTATCTACTTTGTAACTCGAAGAAGATGGAGAAATGCACAAAGCTGGATGATGCTGCAGATTTCAAGTCTATACCTGCATGGAAATCCAATGATTTTAAGGTAATTAATTAACAATTTAACAAAACATTATATATGTAATTTTTTAAAAAAATATAAATAAACCAAGACTCTTTCCTTTTCTGTTTTTTCAGTCATGGATATGGATGCAGCAAGCTATGCATCCAGAACTGAACTATAACAGCTGTTTCAGGAAGAAATGGGTATGTTTCATTAATTTCAGAAATTCATGCCAAGCGTTTTTTTTAAAGTCAATCTCCTTATATATATGCTTATGATGGCTTTAGCAGCTGCCTTGGAAGATGGTTCCATTTAAGGGTATATCATTCAAGAAATGGCTGAAAGAGAAGAAATTAAGGCGAAAGGAAGAAGAGAGGCTACAGAAAGCTGAAGTGCATGCAGCCATATCGGTTGCAGGAGTGGCAGCAGCACTCGCTGCAATTGCGGCGGAGAATTCAGGAAAGGATGAATCTAGGACAACCAAGGAGGCTGCAGTGGCAGCTGCAGCTGCCCTGGTTGCAGCACAGTGTGCAAAAGTGGCAGAGGCTATGGGAGCAAAGAAGGAGCAGCTTACTAGCGCTATAGGATCGGCCATGAGTGGTACAAGTGCAAGTGATGTATTAACACTCACTGCAGCAGCCACAACATGTAAGTCCAATCCTCCCTTCTGTTTTAGAAATAAAATCATGAAACCAAGAGAGTGAATTGGGCTGAGGTTATATCGGCTTCGTATGATTGGGCTAAAAGGTCAAAAGCCCTTATTTTGACATTTAGAAATCAAAATTTTGAACTTGAAAATTTTCAAAACTTCAATGTCTTTAACTACTGAATCAATACATGAAGTCATTTCTTAACACTTGATAAGTTAAGGAGGTCAAGATTTTATGGGGTTTTCAGTATTTTGTATCAAAGTAGATATCTGGCCCTTTGTCATGAAACTACTCTAAACATGAATAGAACCCAATAATCTTGCCTATGCCATATACTTCTGTTAACATGCAAACACTGATTTTCTTATAATTTCATTGTTATGTATGTTTGTTCCTAGCATTGAGAGGAGCTGCTACCCTGAAAGCAAGATCAGGATGCAGGAACATATTAAATGTCAGTTCACCAATTCTACCAATTGAGGACAACAATGATTTTACTTTTGAGTTCAACAAGTGCAGATCAATGCTTGCAAAGGGCACTGAGCTTGGTGTAGAAACTCCAGAAGGTAAGCACATCATTCCTAAGGATATATTTTTTCCTCTGAGAAAATTGCAATTTGGCACCTTTTGTTTTTTACTGTTTTCACTTGTACAGGGAAGTGCAAGGTTAGATTGGTGTCAGTTGTCCTAGAGAGGGAAGCCAAGGTCTTAGCCTCTATATGCTTCTAAAAGTTGTTTCTTAACCTGTGACTTTTTTAGGCTTTTCCCGCTTCTAACTCCTAATTCACTTTACAGGTTATTCTAAAACTGAGGAAGCTCAATCTATTCAAAAGCAAGAAACAAAGTATGCTCTCATCTTCTCTTTTGTTCAACAAAAAAGCCTGCTAACCCTCACCGCATCATCATTGGTTACTGTTCTTTATGGCTCAAGATCACATGTGAGTGTGACATGTACTAAAAGGTTCATTTTTGTTTCAGGTCTTGTGTTGGACCTGCATGCTGAGTTGTATAGAGATTCTGAAGCTGATGATTCTGAGACATGTTATCTGCTCGTGTTAACAACAAATCTAGGTACAATTAAGTTGGACATGGGGGACGATTATCAGCGTTACAAGACGTGGGCTGCAACTATTAACCAAATGCTTGTTCTTTCCACTTCTTCCACAAAATATGAACTTCAATTCTATAAAAACTGAAGTAGTTGCTTTGTCGGTTTTCCTCATCTTTGTAACAGTGTATATCAATTGTATAACATATATATGTTCTTGTTTCTGATTGAATTAACCCAATTTAAGGTGTTAACAAACATTAACTTATAGCAGGAGATAAATATATGTATAACATCAAAATCACAAAGCAGTAGGCACAAAAACAAACTCCAGACTTTAATTTTTCAAGTTATAATTACATCTTACAAAAGCATCAAAACTTCCCACTGAAACTTAGTTTTAGTTCAGAGTTGAAGGAACAACCAACAAGTTTGAGCTCCTGAGAAGTTGCAAATTCGAATTCTTCGGGGAAGATTTTGAACTACTCTAGATAAAAGTTGGAACTTACAGTTGAGAAAACTACCAAGAGACATGTCAATTTGCAAAGGAAGATATTGGATCATACGTGGTAGAGGTCTGCAAGGGATCTAGGAATATAAAACCTGTGATAAAAGCTAAATTTCAAGGAAGTTTTTGGCGTGTAGATTGATCAGTTGTTCGCAAGATGGTCTTAGACCCAATGGGCTTTGGTGGGGGAAGGCAGCTATAAGTTGTTACATTTTCAGAACTACTTAACGGAGTCGTGTTTTCCTTGCTTGCTCCTATTGGTTAAGTCCAGACATGTTTGGTGAAATCCAAAGGTTTAGATATAAATGTAATGTATGTATATGGACAGTTATCATTGTATGACAGAACAACTTTTGCAGAGGGGGAGCATGAATGATGACAACCATGCATGGAGAGGACCACAAGGTGCCTAGCTGGTGAGCATGTTCGCTAGAATTCTTGTCTCCCTATCCCCACAATGTTCTTCCAATTCCCTTTTCTGCAATAAAGCCTGGTTTAGTCTCATGTCTGGTATTTATGGACCAATTCCATCCAGCTAATCAAACTTTGTTCCTTTGCGGCTGCTCCATCCTACCCAGAATCCTCAAGGGGCCGACTCTGGATTTTTATACAAATAACATTTCATGTACAATATGCCGCACTGAAGAATGAAGAAAATACTCCAAATATTGATGCATAAATTCAGTCATTTCTGCACATATTCTCTTTTTGGTGCATGGGTTAACAATATTTGAAACAAGCAACAC